AAATGAACGTGTACAGTTTTAAAATATTATTTCTCTTTGAAGGTGTGCTGTCCAGTCTGCTGAATAATTTTAATCAAGGTAAAACCCTGTAAGACATACATTTAGGTATATTTTAAAAATGTTGACCAAAAAGCAATATTAGTCTTTATTTCATGATATCGCCCCTGAGGTCAGGTACAGGATCTTGGAGAAGCGTTCACATGTGCATTTATTGTTATATTAAATAATCAGAAGCAAAAAAGTGACTGCACTTTATACCAAAGAATATAAGTTTTAGTTTTACAGTGTAAAACTTGTGTTTTTTTTTTTATATATATGTTTTATTGTACAGAATTTCAATTATCTTGCATGTTCTTCTGCTTTTCTTTTCACTGATGTACTAAATGTCTTCTCAACTGGAAGTGGCTTCCAACCGACGTCAGCGGCGTGGTGAGTGCTGAATGCTTCATTTGTTGCTTTCATGTACATCACATAATCATTTCATCAGATACAATAACATTTTTTTTCCCCCGTCTGGCTGCAATACATGCTAGAATTATGGAGTTCGCCTTGATTTTGCTCCTCCAGTGACACATTTAACTTCTCAAATTGTGTCAAAGCTTGGTGTGATGTTACAACACTCAGCTAGTTCTCATTGACAACTCTGTGTTGACTGGCTAAGTGAAGCAGAGAGTGGATCTTATTAACTAAAACATGTGTAATGATTTTTCATTTCTGTGTCAAACAGGGTTGACAAAATATGATCTCATTCGTGGCTATGGTGAGTGACTTTGGGAGTCTGACATTAAAATTTGGCAGCAAGTTCATGAAAATCCTTAAAATTCGTATTCGAAAGTAGCAACTGGGACTGAGTTGGTGATGTTGTTTCGGGCAGGCAATATTACAAGGACTGTTTTTGGTTTTCAAGTAGACAGTGGTTTCCTACCTCGGGGTTTGCCCCCTGCAGAGGGTCGCTGGATACATCTGAGGTGTCGTGGGATTATTAACACAAATCAGTTCTGAAACAGTATTATTGTTTTTTACTTTTCTATCTTTTTTTTTTTTTTGTTAAATATTGTAAAATCTTTAGTTCAGCTGCTAACAGCTCATTTACATTTTTGTCAAATTGAAGATGAATGATTCCCACTATTTCAAAGTAACTCAGATTATATACGTCCATATGAGTTTCTTTATCTGCTGACCTGAATGGTAGTGAGAAATAGTTTGACATTATTGGAAATACGTCTGTACAGTAAAATTAAATTGCATTAACATGTTCCAGTGGGTTGAAAATGAAAAAATCTTGGTTACTTTAAAGCAGTGATGCCTTTTATTTACAGAATGCATCCATATCTTTACAGGTGGCACCTCTGGACCCAGTACAACTAAACCCACCACACCAAGTAAGTCTACAAACTTTATTTAAACTTAACTTGCCTATTTATCACACTGGTGGTCCTGTAATGATATATTTGAAAATCTTAATATAGAAACTATATTAAGAAAAAAACAAATTAAGAGGGAGAATGTTGCAGATGCTCTTCATTCAAAAAAAAAAAGAAGGAAAATGTCATTGATTGTATTTGGAAAGTTATGCCCATGAAAGTTAAAGTTTAAAAAGTATTAAGTCCTTGTTGTTTGCAAACTGCAATACTTTGTAAAAGCAGAAACAAAGGAAAGTATAAAGAAAAAGTATGTGATTTTTATTCCTCCTGATCATGTCTACATACCTCAGTACAGTAAAATTCTGCCACGTGATTTACTGATTAGATATTTACTTTAGTCAGGAGTTCAATTGGTGTATGTTCATTTCTAAAAATGCATTTATTAAGATTTTTTGGTCAAGTTTTTCTTTTAATGTAATCATCTGTCTGTAGGTGTGTACTAAATTCAGCAAAATAAGTAGAAGTTCAGTAAACCTAAGCAGAATTAAACTTTGTGTAATATACTCTTTTTTTGCCCAGATGATCCATTCAACTTGGCGGATGCTCTTCTTCCAGGTAAAGTTGTCTGTGTTGGACTTTATTAAGAAGAACTGCAAGTCAAAATGTTCCACCAAAAGCCAGAATAGGGCTTTGTTTTCTGATGATTCCTTTAAAATCTGACAGAAACATGTGGCAAGACAAACAATGTTACTTTCAATGTGGAAAAGTGTGTCTGACATCGTTTACTGGCAGTCTCAGGGGCTAAAGGGCAAATGATTGATTGTTGGGTGAAGAGTGTCACCTTGTGGACATTATAAGATTTGGTTTTAAAAAACACCTGGAAGGCATAGAGCAGGGGTGTCCAATCCTGGTCCTCGAGGGCCACAAAGGCAACCAGAAAAGAACAAGCGAGTATCTGCAGCTCCTGTTCTCTTTGGAATCTGAAAAGCTGTAGTGTCCTGAGTCTGCATCAAGCTACTCAGGTTCTTTCTTTAATGTGTCATTTGTCTGTAGGTTTTAACTGAATTTTTCATAAAAAGCAGCTATTGAGTAAACCTATTTTTAAACTTTGCATAATTTGTGTTTTTCATTCCCAGATGACAGTCAACTTGATTTGACAAAAGCTCTCAACTCAGGTAAAGTTGTCTGTGATAGATGTAATAAAGAAGAACTCTGATATGACAGAGTTTTAAAATGTATGTGACCAGTACAGCTCATAGGATCGAAATGTTCCACCAAAAGCCAGAATAGGTCTTTATTTTCTGAGGATGAAAATCTGATGGAAACAAGTGATACAAGACAAATACCATGACTTTCAATTTCCAAAAGTGTGTCTAACATTTAAAAGTGATAAGAGGTTAAAGGCAAATGATTCATTGTTGGGTGAAGAGTGCCACCATGTGGACATTTTAAAAGGTGGTTTAAATGCTGGAAGTTTGTAGAGGCAATGAATTTATTCCTGGATTCGTTGATTCCTTACAGACAGTTTTCTCCCACTACCACAACTACAACTAAAAGCAAATTTGGAAGTAATTCAAAGTACACAGAAAACTGTTGAAGTGTTACTGTCATATTTGTCACTAAGAACTAAACACACTGTTTAAATTGCAAATAAATATAAAAGATGTGTATGTAAGCTTTGGAAATAGTTGGTACAAAACAAACATTGTTAGTTTAAATGTCTACAAGTCTGATAAAGGGTCCCTGACGTTCATGTACCACAATTGTGTATCACTGTGAGTGTCTGCATGCTGATGCATATGCACATTGACATATTTTCAGTTAAAATGTTACATTAAGAGGAACAGACAAAACTCTAACTACTTTCTAATAAATTATATTTTCTATGTTCTTGTTCCTACAGCTGAGAAACCAGGCACACAAGGTAAGTCTACAGACCTGTTACTATACTCTTCTTGATTATTATGCAAGTAGCATCTCAGTGGGATTTTTAGTAAAACATTTAATTTAGCCACTAAAGGTTATCTATCAGCTATTTTTTTAAATATGCAAAATCATCTCAAGCAGCTCTACAGCTGTTAAGCCTAAATACACAACATTGGGATCTAGGAATCAGAGATACCTGGAAGAATTCTGAAATGTGTCAAAAAAAAAAAAAAAAAGATAGAAAGAAAGAAAGAAAAAAAAAACTGGCAGCATCTTTGTTGAAGTGCCACCTTCCAAAATATTTATTTTATTAACAGATATGGCCTAATCTCTGTACAGGGATGTGCAGGATGGAAAGGGATCAATAGGTTGTTTCATGTTATTTAGCATATCAAAACTGAAGGCTGCTATGGGAATGACAAGAAAGAAAAACGCGGTGTGGCCACCATCACCCATCAGAACAGTCAATATATTTTGTGTTTATTACATCTACGTTCTCGCTACGAGATTAGCAAAAACAAACAAAAAAATGGTGCTTATGCTTGTGTTTCTAGTTTTACTGAGATAAGGAAGTTGGTTATCTTAAACTCTAATCTGTTCATCAGATTTCCAGAAAAATGTGCTCCAAAAATTGGACACAATCAATGAGGAAGTGAGTCAGCTCTTCCGCCTGCTGCCGCGGATCATGGCTCAAAGACCATCAAAGTGAGATCTCTGGGACACCAAGGTGAGTGAGGAAAATTATAAGTTTACCCCTTTTTCATTAACTAAAACATTTGATTGTGGCTTTAACAAATTCCCAATGATTCAGTGCTTCTCTGACTGACTGAACCTCGTGTATGTTTTCAGTAAAGAAGACATCGGGCCAGATGATGACATCTTCCTGAACATGTCTGATCTTATGAATCCTTTTTCCTGATCAGATTTCAAACATATATTCAATACTGTCATTTAAATGTTTAGCATGAATATTTTCTCTCATATGCTGATCAACTTAAAATGTACAACTTATGATACAGAAGGTCTCTGTAAGATCCATGCATGATGAAAGAAGACTGGTGTTAAAACATACTGCAGAATCAATAAAGAGGATCATGGTGAATAGTTGTGTGCATTCATTTGCTTAACACTCTTCAGTTAGGTGTGGTACAGAAACTTTGCAGGACAGGAAAATGTTCAAAACTCCAATTCAAGATATGAGTAATTACAAGTTGACTAGAAAGAAATCAAGTTCAAGATATCTGTGTCATTCTGACTAGTTTCACAGTGATTTATTCACAATGTAGATATCTTGAATTGAGGGAAATTAAAGCCATCTTGAAGTAGAAATATGAGTAATCAGAATTAAAATCTACAGATTATGCCACTGAATTACAGATATGAATGAGAAACCTCATACACATGAATGGTGAAAGTGATGCTATTTGTGTTAAAATGAATGATATTGTGGATCTTTGAAATCTTCTGTTACTAGGAATAATCGAAATATGAGACATTCCATAAAAATTAAGCAGTGCCTCCTATGTGACCTTTTCACAATCAGCTAATTTTTTAACAATAAGTTTCGATGTGCAAATGTTTACCTTCATACTTTATATACAGCACCCTCCATAATTATTGGTTAAGATGTGTTCTCTAGCTTCTAGTAAATTCAGTTTTTTTCTAAATAATATAGGACCACAATGAAAAAAAGAGGAAAGTTTAACCTTTAATGCAAATGCATTTATCCAGTGTGAAAAAAATCCCACATTAAAAAATAATTCTTTTACATCAAATCATGTGTGCCACAATTATTAGCACCCTTGATGTTAATACTTTGTACAACCCCCTTTTGCCAACAATTCATTTGAGTTGAGTTGAAGGTTACATTTTTCTACAATTTTCAGTGTGAGAGTTTGCTTCTGCAATAAAAATGGAATTTATTTTAAGGCTTTTAACACATCTTAACCAGGGGTGCCAATAATTATGGAGGGCGCTGTATCTTCTGAGCTCCAGGCCCTCGAGGTACAAAGGGTGCAGCTCTAAATGTTGAGGTTTAAGTTTGCATTTTGCTTTCCATCATCTCTTTTAAAGTACACGAGATTAAAAAATACATTTTTTAGAGGTGGAAAAACAAATTTGAGCTCCGTTAAAACCTACAACCAAATCGATTTTACCTCCACTTCAGGAGTTACAACCTGAACCCAAAATCAGTTTTATGTTTTGAATGACATTTTTTCCACAATCAACTTTTTAGCATCAACATCACTGGATATGCCATTGTTTCTATACCAATACTATAGAGCAATTGGTCTCATGTGTGTTTGTCTGTGAACAGTCTGTAGCTCGAGTGTTAAGGTCTAACAAGTTGATATTTTACAGGTGAGCTAGGAATGGCCTCTCCGCGAAATGATTCGATTTTGGGGGTCAATCAGTGCAGAAGCAGCTCTGCTAGAGATCAAAGGTCACTTTTAAAAGAAATGCTGTTTACCTCCAAAAGAGTGGAGGGTAGATTAATGGTATTTGGTGCAGATAAGCAACCATGTTGGCTCTTTCTGTGGGTGATGTTAAATTTGACCTTGGATGATATTTCATTGTCAAGCTCAAGGTCATAAATTTTGCCTGCACTGTAACTTATACAAGATAGACATATTGTTTGTATCAGAAACCATATGTAGGCCTCCCAACACCTATTGTGTGGTAAGTAAGACAGAATAATGGTTTACTGGAGCTCAGTGCAATCATGGCCGGCATGGACGACTTAAGGGCCCTGTAGTTATGCACCCTTAAGGCAAGTAACTCTTAAAAAAAAATCACAGTGTGAAGGGATTTTTTTATTATTGTGCAAAACAAAAAAATCACCTGATTCTGATGGAGTTTAGTGGGGAAATTTATGGAATGACTCTTATCTTAAAACCAAAATCCAGTCTAGTATGTCTAAGCCAGTCTAATGTACACTAGGTGGCACACTAGTTTCACTTGACTCTCTTGCTGGTTCATGTTGGGTCAAATGGGGAGTAACCCACACCTTTGGGTTAACTTCAGCCAGCAACTCCTCTTTATGGCTTTTCCTTTTTATTTTTCAGTAAGACTTTTATTGGTCTCCTGGTTTCCCCCTGCACAAATTAAAGTAATGTTCCCATTTGTATTTTACACAAAATCATTTCTTAATTCCATTTGATGCTACAAAATGCAATCTCTTTAAGGTCTTGACTGTGATGCGCCAAATACCATTCAAATATTACCACTGTATAAGGATCCTTTGGTTCACAGCAGCCACACACGCATCCCTAAACATATTTTATCAATCACACTATCAACAAAAGCCTTCTGGTCAATTCGGTCACACCTTATATCTCCATTTCCATAAAACGGTGCTGTAAATAAACGTTAACACAGTGCTCCAGCACATAGAGTCTATACAGTCCAGCTCCGCAACTCGCTGTTGTAAGTATGAGAAAAACTTGAGAGCTTGTCATAAAACCTGTTGTTTTATCATGATTTGAGCTTCAGTATCATTTAGACAGACGCCGAAAATAGCAGTGGTGTACTTCACATGCATACCAACTTGAGCTAAGTTATGTATGATTGGTAGTGCCATTGACAAGCACGAAAACGTTGAACTGCATAGTTTGTAAACGATGTTCGGCGACGCTCGAAGGGAGCTTGCTTTAGTTATGGGATTTGTGCCTGGATGCAAAACATAAACGTGCTAAAGGGTTAATTCATCATTTTGTTATACAAGCCTGTGCCGCCCTCTCGCAGGCTGCCACACCCAGTCTGTTCTTCACAGGCAAAGCTGAGTCATAACAAACTGTAACAGGACACCAGACGAGCTTTTCTGTCCAGAAGGAGACAAACTTTGTCCGCAAATACCGGCCGCCTCACGCGACCAAGCTAGGAATAAAACTAGCTCAAAGTCAAAGTAGCTGCGAGGAAAAACTACATTACAGCCAACATGAAGCTCTGTTTCAGGATCGTTTTACTTCTTTTTCTTGTTGCTGGGACATTGACAGACGACGGTAAGCTTAATTCTTTAAATTATAGGTTGTTATAAAGCGTGTTAAAGTGACGGGTATAGTTTTTTTTTCTTCTGTTAGCTCGCTGATGCTATTATCTTAGTAGCAGAAGCGATGACGTGTTCTTTTTGTTTGTTTGTTTGTTGACAAAAAACTTGTTAAATACTGAATGCGGTCATTAATTACCTCATAACAGTCAGTCCATCCCATTTTCCATCATGTGGACAGTGTCCTGTGGTGTAGAGGCAGACTTGGCTTTGAAAGGAGACTGGTGCTGGGTTAACAGAAAAACTGATTTACGCAACAGTTAACGTCCGTAAAAGGTAAAAAATTTTGACCTCTGCAAGCTGAGCCACAGAAATAGTTGTCCAAGGTTGTACCTGGATTAGCTTTATTTAGCCAAAACGGTGCAAAAATTAAACTCCACTGCATAAACGTGCAGAAATAATTACTAGACTGCTTCCTCTACAAAGTCTACACAAGAGTCCTTCAACATTGATTTCATCATAGTGGTTGAATAATTACAGCATCTTCTAAAAGGCAAAAAAGATTTAATATGCGCAATAAATTATGTGATCTATTGAAAGTGCAACAAATTTTAAATTCGCACTAGATTGTAGAAAACATTTAGTGAGTCACCATTGTTTTGTGCAGATGCTGTTTATGTAAAGTAATCCAAATTACATTATCACTTGACAATGAGTAAAGAACAAGTAGATGTACTTTCTGTTTTATTTATTTATCAGTCTCTTTGCTATTTATTGTTGTTTCTGTGCGATTGTTGCACAGATTGATTTTTTTTTCACTACTGGCTGCATAACAAAATACCCCATGGGGATAATAAATATAAAGATTCCTAAGAAGAGACCTGGGAAACAAGAAGACGGCCATATTGACGGTGAACAAAGAGGGATTCAACAAGAGAGTCTTTCCAGCTTAGAATCTGTGTTTATTAGAACCTTGAACCGTATGGTTCACCAAGAACAAAAGAAGAGAAAAAAAGATAGAAAAAGAATAGTTGTCGTAGACGTTTAATAATTATTTTCAAAGCTTTTCTATTCATGTCAAATAGGATCTGATTTCACTATGAAGTTTGAAATTATACTTCTCTACTGTAGGCAGTTTGGTGTTCACATGCAGAGAGCAATGTTAAGGGTTTAGCTAGCAATAGGCCACCATGACAGAGACTTCTGTGGTGGGTAATGGTTTCTGGGCACTACTCGTGTATTCAAAATGCAGTGTCGAGTGATTTTGTGGTGAAAGTTACACAATGTAAAGGGTTTGACACATCTTCTTGAGAGACTGAAAAATTGGATTTCTGTGCAGTTTTGATAAATCATGCAATAGCATATATTGCAGTAGTGAAAAAAGCTTATTGGTTATGAATGATGTTTTAGTTGTGGACACTTTTGCAACTACATGATAATTTACATGAATAATGAACTAAGTGCACTCCTGAGTTTTAAGTCTGCAGGGTTCAGTGAGAAAAAAATTACAAAAAAAAGTTACACAGAGATCTTAAACTTCTAAATCCAGACAGACCACCAAGCACACTCACATTCACACCTATGGACAATCTAGAATCACCAATTAACCTCAACATGTTTTTTGGACTGTGGAAGGAGGAGCTGAGAACCCACGCTGCACAGAAAACTCCACGCAGAAAGATCCCGGTGTCCTCACCGGGACGTGAACTGGCGACCTTCTTGCTGTGAGGCAGCGGTGCTAACCACCAATGCACCTTGCAGCCCACTTTTAAATCCTAACTTGCTAAAAATGTTTCATTCGTGATTCAGGGTCCTCAGTGGTAGCTATTGTCATCTGTTTTAAAAAAATTATTATGTTGAATAGAACATGTGAGTTTTTTCCCTTTTTTTGGAATATTTGCCAGGAGTGGAAACAATTTGTCCAACAGCATCCAGTAAACATGTTTATTTTTATTTTACAAGTGAATGAAAGTCTGGGTTGCCTGTAGCAGCGAAAGTGTTATAGGGTGTGATCATGAAATAGATTGAGACCTTAGTATGCTGAGGTGCTGAACCAGTCATAGATTTTAAATGAAATTGGAATTTGAAACAATGCAAATCGCAAAGTTTGCAGTTGACGTTAGGTGTTATGCAGCATGTTTAATTCAGGGTTTGAACTGCACTGTTAATAAAATAGTGCCGTCCTTGTGTGACAATTCTGCTTTTGATGGTGTCTCATGTGGTCTATCACATGTTGTACATCTGTTACTCAGTGAAGTTTGACTTTTAAAAAAAATCCATTGCAAATCATTGGATTTATTGGGTTTCCCCTGTAATGTAATGTTACTGTGTAAAGTGACTTGAGATGACATAAGTTTTGAATTGGCACTATGCAGTAGTTCCAGGTAAGACCTTTTGTCGTAAGGGATGCAGCTAATGAATGTTTTCATCAGCATTTAGTCTGTCGATTGTTTTCTGGATTAAATGGTTGATTTGGTCTATTTGATGTCAGAAAATATTCTTCAAGCAAGAACTGATGTGTTCAGAATGCTTGTTCAGTGTAATCAATAGTCCTAAAACTCGAAAGTTATGGATGTTCTACTGCATGGGACAAAGAAAACAAAACAACAGCTAACCCCGTGAAAAACAGTTTTTCCAGTTTGATTTGGAAAAACCTTTGTGATGACTCAGAACATCAACGGTGAATTTGTCCACATAATTATGGCCACGATTGTTATTATTGTTACTGCAGGGCGAGTAAATTTATTACAGCAGTGTTGTGACTATAAAAACAGACAAGAATAATGGACGAAAATGGCGTTGGGGTTAGAAAACACCAGACATTTTGTGTGAAATAGAAATGCAGCTCACTGAAGGTGAAAACAACATAAACAGAAATACAGAACAAAATACAAACACAAAGATTTTGTAAGGTTTCAACATCATGACATGCGTTACATTTGAAGTATTCTTTGCTCTGCTATGCGTTTCCTGTATAAAGCAGGATGAGGTCTGGCACAGTAAACCACAGGCATGCTGCTGTGAAGTAACTGGCACGCTCTTTGGTTGAAGGAGACCATTTGTACTACAGTCACACCTAAAGTTGATATTGTGAAGACATTTAGCATTTAATCCCCAACATAATCAAAAAACATTGTTGGTTATCATTATTAATGCTGAAATCGCACATGGAGCATGATAAGAATGCTGAAAACCACAAAACAGAAGTACTTTCAGCCTGGTTTCAATGAGGAAAACGGAAATAATTAGATTTGAATGGCCTCGGCTGCTCTGTAAGCAAATCTGTACTTTGGTACAGCAGTAACTGTGGCTTTAAACAATTATAGAATGAAAACTTCTTTGAACATTTTTTAGAAACGCGATAGATCCACCCAAACAGTTGCTCAAAGCTCTTTCTCTTTTATGAAATGTCTTGCAAAAAGCCATATTAAAAAAAGCAGTTGCAAAATATTTATGTATTTCGTCTTTTGGGTAAAGCACTCTCAGTCTCAGTCATGGACCCAAAAGTTGTGTATAATGATATGTATGACAAGACGTTAGATATAATAAGCTTGGGTCCTATGTTTTCTGTTTGGATTATGTAGTTTTGTTAGAATAAGTTTGTTTTCTTATATTTCAGCTTACTGGTTTAGAAAGCACATTCAGACAGAAATTTGTCTCATTTCATTTTTGCTGCAGCTGCTTTTGTATAAAAGCAGCCAGTCCTTGTATTTGCTGAAGACTTAGTGTGAAATCGCCTGAAGAAGTCTTTATCAGTCACTGTTAAAAAGGTTCAGTTTTTTCATTTAACTCTGTAGCAAACACTTCCTGAGATGAACTAAACCATGTTATGAGTCCAGTTTGAATCTGTCCTTGAGTGTTTTTCCACAGTATCAGTCACTGCTACTCCGGTATTCTGGACTACTTTGGTAGACACCTCACTAGTGACTCATGCTATTTAGAGCTGCTCAGTGTGTCAGTCAGTGCTGCCATAGCAACCAGCAAATACACTTGTGAGACTCCCTGCACCCAAACACAGACCACATGTATTTCCAAACACAGAATACCATGACTCAAGAGGTAGTTCAGTGAATTGCAGACACATACTGTAGCTGGATGCCAGTAAAGACTCAAAACTGACCTGCTTCTATGTCTTTATTCTTTGGAGGAAACAGCCTCAGTGTAAGATTTGTGGCTCTTTTGTGCTGTTATTGTAGCAGGTTAAACTGCTTTGTCCACTATTGAAGTGACATGGTATTCCTTGTGTCTTCTTCACACAGGATTTGACCTGTTTGATGCCCTCGATGACGTGGGTGAGTGTCTTTCTCCGTATTGGGATATTTCAAACTGTCAAACTTGGTACCGTGTTTTAAAGGAGACGTTGTAACACTGTTCATTTGTTTTTGTTTCTTCAGCACCAACACCACCAAAACCCAAAGAGCAACCAAAGACACCAGAGAATCCAAAAAATGACGGTTTGTATCTTTTCACTTGTTGCATTATAACATACAGGTCAACGTCACCCTGCTGGGACTGTTTTTTTTTTTTTTGCACACACAAAGATACACAGTAACTCCGAACCTTTTGTTTGTGATGATTTTCACTGTGTTGTAAGGCTGCTTGATGGTCATTTCAGCACTGACATATTCACTTGTGCAATAGTCAAAATGTAGGATGTGTATAATGAAGCCAATCAAATATATCAACTTTTTTTTGCTTCTTGATACAATAAAACCTCATGTTTTCTAATTCCCATGACAAATACAAGAGATATCTGATAGAACATAATTTACTCTGAGTAAGTCTTCTTGGATGCACTGATTACACAGATGTTTTGATGCAACCTATGAGTTTGTCCGACACTGCCAAATAAGCACATAGAGAAACCACAGTGATCAGACAGGTTTGCAACAGGTCCATCTGACTGTCTAACCTGCTTATTTGAAAGTAAAAACAGAAATGACTGTATAAGCTGTCTATTGTAAATATTCATTTGAACTTGCAGAGTCGCAGTGGGTAAAAGTCTATAAACCCATGAAAATTTGGTGTATTTCTGCAATATTATGACCTAAGTTTTCATTTATTTATTTTTTCAGTTATCGAAGTTATAGGTATAGAAAAATAGTAAATGAACAAAACTCAGGTTGTTAAAAAAAATCTACGCAACCGCTGAAGATGGTCCCACTGGACTAATCCATGTGCTCTTCTGTTTCTTTCTCCTTCAGGTGGGCTAGACCTTTTGGATGCATTTGGACCAGGTAAAATACACTTTGCAAGTAGATTTTTTTTATTCTCATGTAGAAATGAGTTCAACTAAACAACAAAACCCAGAGAAACGTAACAAGTGAGCAAGACTGTTGTTTTGTGTCATGCTACAAATACAGAAGTACAAATATCCACATATCCACTTTGGCGATCACTTTAAACACAAACAAGACAGAAACTAAAAGCCTGCGTACTAATTAAGCTGGACTATATTTATATGTATATATATATATATATATATAGAGAGAGAGAGAGGTAGGGAGAGAGAGAGAGAGATCTCTCTCTATATATATCTTTGGACAGCTGCTGACCAGCATTAGCTTCCCTGAAGGGACAGACTGAGGATCCATAACTAAACGCCAGACACAATAGTCATTTTCGGTCTGTCCCTCATGTAGCTGCAACCTTTAGATCAGCTATGAGATAGCCAGAGTCAGCTAACTATCCTGTGTCACGACAGTTAATATAGCCAGTTAGTTTTTAGCTTAAAATGAAGTTAAAATAAGCTTTGTAAGAAGTCGTCGTGCAGCCCCAGCTTTACTGATATTCACATCATAAATGATATTTAGTACAGATGTCATACATGATTACTGAGAAAAGGCACTAATGCAACTATTGAGATCAATATTTATAAAAATTGAGCAAATAATTGGAAGATCTTTATGTATGTACATAGTTGAAAGAAACAAGAGAAAAGAAAGAGGCTGAAATGAAATTTCAGTGTGGCATTCTTTTACTCCCTTCTCATCTTTATCGCTCGTTGCAAATGTGATTTGTTGTCCTTGTCTAAATAAATATTTGTTCAACAGATGAGCCAGAGCCAGAAAAACCCAAGAAACCAAGCTCTGGAGATTCTGGTAGGTTGGATTAATGTTCGACCCACAGGCCTCTCATGGTTTCAGGCTTTTTTTTTTTTTTTGGTTTCATTGAACGAATCCATGTGCTCTTTTGCTTTTTTCTCCTTCAGGTGGGCTAGACCTTTTGGATGCATTTGGACCAGGTAAAATATACTTTGCAAACAGATTTTTTTCTCACGTAGAAATAACCTAATTAAAAAGACAAAACACAGAGAGAGTCAGTCTAATTGTGTCATGCTACAACCTCACAGATTTGACCTTCACTTTGAACACAGAGAGGACAAAAACTGAAAGTTTACACACTAATTAACCTGGACTGGTTTTATAAAGTTAAAATATCAGTCTGATATCTGCAGACAAATGCTAACCAGCATTAGCTACCCAGATTTTGAAATGGAATTTTGTGTTTTCTTCCCTATTTATCTTTATCACTAGTGGTCATATGTATATGATTTGTCTTCTCTCAATAAATATATTTTCCTACAGATGAGCCACAGCCAGAAAAGCCCAAGAAACCAAGCTCTGGCGATTCTGGTAGGTTGGAATAATGTATGTCCCACTGGCCTCCACAGGGGTTTTTCTAGCTTTTATATGCTCTGGTTTGTAGATGTTAGCTAACAAGACTTTTCCACAACTATGTTTACAAGGTAAATCATTAGCAAAAGTTCATTTGTTCAGTCTCTAAAGCTTGTACACTTGTGCTTCACAGGTGGCTTTGGATTTGATCTGGAGGATGCTCTCAAACCAGGTAAAGCTGACAGTGACTGAGGCTTTTGGAAAGACTGATACAAATTAGGAAGGTTTCTAATTAAGGACCGAACATTTTCATGCCTTTATTATGTAAAGGCATGCCTAATTAGTTCACTAAACATCTCCCCCAAACAGTGAGTGTCCAGTTACAGCTTAGCAAGTGTAAGCTTCAGATTTCCCTCATGTTGCAGTGGTGTGCGAGGTTCTGTCAGAATAATAAAATATATTAATAGACCACTTGTCAACACAAGGTTACAAAGAGGTTACAAAAAGAAAAGATAGTCATGTGACATAGACCAATAAAGAGGAGAGGGAGGACCCATGTGCAGGCACAGGAGGGAGATTGACAAAACCAAAAGCAAGCTTTTGCTGCGCATGAATATTAATGGCTGTATTTGTTATATTTTTGCATTCAATTTGATTTCTTCTTCTTATTGATATCAAATGGTGCTGTCGAGATCTGCATTTTGAAATCTGCTTCAATGCCACACACCATGATGCATCTGCTTTCTTACTGTATTTATTCAGATATTGAAGCTCATAGTCTCTTTTTATTCCCAGATCCCAACTCCAAACCTGACAAACCTGCTGTCAACAAACCAAGCGGGGGAGGAGGTGGGTCTACAAATGTTTCACTCATTTGCTGACTTCATAACTCCTTATTTTACACAAGTATTAATGTCAGTTTCCCCCTGGGGTTCAATAAAGTATTTCTGATTCTGATCTGATCCAGCAGCAGCCTGGCAAACACCGACTGTCGATTTGACGTTGCATTTATATTCAAAATGAGTTTGGCCTGCTGCTGTTTGGCCCGAATATTGCCGTTGAAACTGAGCACCTGAACACAAAACAACAAATGAAACATTTTTTTGTGATTTTTTTAGCATGCTCTTCATATAATGGTCAGCCAACTTTTCACTGTCACTAGATGTTGTTTTAAAGATTACCTTCTTTGTCCTGAGTGGGAGAAATATGAAATGAGCAGCTCAACCGGTTCTTTTTCAGACTCAATTTTCCTTGTGAGATTGTGATGTACCACACCTTATATACCAAAAAGCATTTTGTGCTCTGATGTGATAGTGAATCGTATCTCAATAATAGTTGTTTATTCCATATAATTGTGTTGATTTATTACAGGAGGTGGAACATTTGACGACGGAGACTTGTTCGACATCACCGGTGACAGCGGCTACAAACCTGATGGAGGCAAAGGAGGACGTAAGACTTCCACACCACATTACACACTTCTGCATTTAGATATGGGTTTTAGTTTCTTTGCTGCGGTCACTTTTTGTTCCTATTTTGGCTTGCAGTATTAAATGTCTCCTAAATATATCGCCTGTGCTCACACTGCAGGCGTTAAATATACATAGAAAACCAAACTCAAAACCCAGTTGTATTCACTAGCTTTTGACCCAGCATGAGACCTCACTCTGTTTTAGTTGTTTTTATTTGTTCTTTGCTGTTTTTATTGTTGGTTTGTTTTGTTGTACAGCAGTTTGTTTCAGCTGTGGCTGTTCTAAAGTGCTCTATAAATTAAGTTGATTTGATTTGATTTGACATTTGATTTGTCACAGCACCCCCACATCCTTAAATTGCATCTCAGTGTGTTGTTGATGTTTTGCAGTCTAACATGCCTCACAGCTCTGGATCCTAAAACCCACTGGCAGGTTTGAAAGGCAGGTTATCTTGAGTAGGTTGCCGAACTACACCATTTATCAGAGCCAGTAGCTGCAAATACAAAAAGAGAACAAAATCAGATTTCTAGTCTTTGAAAAGTAAATGGACCCTTGGTCAAACCTACTTAGGTAGGAATTATCTTAAACAAGTGTTTGTGGAAGCTGTGCATCAGACCTGGACAATGCTTAGGAGAAAACTTTGAACTGCTTCAGTTTATTTCTGGTATGACTGGTTCTCTTGGAGTGTCTTTTTCTGGGATTTTTATGTTTTTTATTGCCATTGGAGGGAGACAGGAAGCGTGGGAATAGGGAACAAGAGAATGACGTGCAGTAAATGATCCCCAGCGAGAAATCAAACTGGAGACTCACTACCTAAGGCATTTAGACTGTTGTGGTATGCACCTTAACCACTCTGCTATCAGGTTGAACTGTAAATCAATGTCTCTTGATTATATATCTCTGTTTTTGTGAAGAATTGTCCATATCAATAGATGCTTCTTATAATTAGCGTTGCTTAAAATGCTTATGTACTCTAACGAACACTTTGGTTTCTTCACTTGGATATAAAGTTTGCTAGCTTCTAGCTTTAGTTGAGGACATTAGTCTCAAGGTTCACCATTTTTTGTAACCTACACTGTGAATGTTTGAACGATATATCTAGTGTAAGGAGTTGTGTGTCATTAGTTTAAATAGACTGTGTTTATAATAACTAAGATTAAGATCTGATTTAAAATGCAGATAATTCCAAAGAGTTCTTTTGCCTTTTCTTGCCACAGTATGTCCATTTGTGTTTGTAGTTTTTCCACCCTTAACCAGTGTTTGTTTATAGTTTGTATTTTTGCGTAACTTTCAGGAACTTCCTGATATTACTCACTGGCTTTTCTTTCCTTTGTGTGTGTTTTGTTGTCCTTCACTACCTCTGACTCAACCAAGCTGCCAAAATGGTTTCGTATGTCTCAAGAGAATAGTTCAGCATTTATGTAATGTCATGGTAACCACTTCTGATAAAAGTGTTTATTTAGGTTTCACATCAGCTGCATGCCACTTTTTCAACACACATCTGTGCTGCCTTAAGGGAACTGAGAATACTTCTTGGTGCCCACTTAAAATGGAAACGTGTGATCGAGGCAGTGGGAGGAGTCATGCAGAGCTCAGACGGGTTTCATGGTTTTCTTGTGAACCGCAGCGTGCCCCCTCATGCAGTATTATAAACATTAGATCTGTGTTACGTCATGTGAGACTTTTATCGTGAACATGCACACACATGAACATAAAGGCACTAAAACTGTGTTCTCCATTTTTGTGGAATTAAAATTCGATCTAAATTGTGTTACATTAACACACAGGATTAATTTCTGTCAATTTACTTCAAATCACGTATAGGACAATGCTAGTAGTGCTGATAATTGTCCTTCTTAAGCGGTTTAAAGTCAGGGTGGACTTGTCTGTTTTTACCTTTGTCAAACTCTGGGTTTTAAGGATGACTCATAGACGCGTTTCTTGCTTGTGGTTTCTTTCGTGTGTCTGTGGTAACAGATACTTCTATATTTCAACTTCTAAACTGTAAGCAGTTTCAGAGCCGTTTTTCTGCAAGTAAGAGTACTTTGTAATGTCTTCTGTGCAGTATTACACAACTATAGTGCCATAAATCATTAAAAAAGATCTAAAATATCAAAAGTAGAATTTATTTATTTATTTTGAAAAAAATAAGAAAACCTGGAATCAACATGTACAATATTTTTCTAGCTTCCCCCAGGTGTTTTTAATACTGGAAAAAAAAGGCGATCAATATACTAAATATATTTTTCATCTTTACAACCTCTTCAAACTCAACATTTTCCCCACTACGCTGCAGATCATGTCTAGAAAGACGTTTCACAATGCTGAATGTATCTTCCAACAACGTGCTGTCATCTTGCCCCTTGTTTTCGAGCCATACTGCATTCATTTTATCGATCAAGTGTGTTTTCTTTTCCTGTCAGTCTCTCTTGTCGTCTCCTCTCTGCTCTGTGTACAGTTCAGTAGTTTTAGAAAGTCCCTGAATTTTTGCCACATGACTGTTGGTCACATCTGATTCAGTCGTGGCTGCTCAGTTGCTCTGAGAAGTGCTGAATTTGTGTTTTTTGTTGTTTTTTTTTTTCCAGAATCTGGTGCATGTGATTCACGTCTGGCAAAGTTTTTAATTAGTTTTGGTTACTTTTACTGATGGAGCCGTACATCACTTGTGATTTGTTCCAGAATCAGTGGAAAAATCTGATTATTCAGTGTTGTTTTTACAGTTTCTGGCTCTGATAAATGGTGTCATTCATTTAAAAAGATACCTTTCGAGCCTAGGTTGGGGTTCAGAGACTTATTCAATCCAGCTGTTTTTAACAGCTCACATTTTTCACAATACACACCAAAAAACACAGCCTAAAGTCTGTTTTGTAGAGTCATTGTGTCCTGGGCTCAGAACGCTGCCAAAATGCAACTACAGCTTTATACATAATGCTGTCAGTGATAGATAAACCATCAGGTGGATTGTAAATATGAACTGGATACTGCATCAACCCTGCTTGATTTGATGTAAAGCTAAAGCCCAGAAATGTATCTTGGAAGACTAAATTGTGCTTTGACAATCAAGAACTATACAATAACTAGCATGCTGTGACTTGCTGGTTTTTAATCTAATAAGTATAGCAAGCAGAATAATAGAAGCCTTGCTTAAAATTCCCCTAAACCTAACTCTCTTCAGAAAAATTTGTGTGCAGTCACTGCTTCTGAATGATTTCTGAACATTGCAGATCAAAAGCATTCCAGAAATTATTCTTTACCTATGTTGAATAAATCCACTTAGGTGAATGAATGTATTTTTGCGTGCGTTGAAAAATGTGCTCAGAATGACAATTAAAAGCAGTCGGTTTCGATCGAAGTCACTGTTTTATTGTCTTTCTGGAAAAATCATCATGGATTCAGATGCTGCCTGCTTTTTTGCTTTTGTGTCTCCTCGATGTTGTTTTGTTGGAGCATGGAAGCAATTAGTTGTTCTTCTACCAAAGAAAGAAAAGGAAATAAAAACCCACAGGCCTTCGGTTATAATCAGAACCACATGGTTCGTTTTCAAATGTAACTCTGGAAGATCGTGTGTGAAGCAGCAGCTATAGTAACCTGTTATTAACTGCAGCTCAGAACCTTTTAGCTGAACTTTTACTCATGAATGAATGAAAACCAGCTTGTATAAAGGGAACACAGTGACGAAACAGTAATGCTGATCTGTTGTGTCGGTGCAAAACAGCTCTGACCAACATTTCATTACTGTTTCTGCTCGGTGCTTTTGGGTGGAAGGAAGAAAAACATTACAAAATGTCTGACGTGACCCTTTCCCATTTCTCTTTTGAATCCAGGCCCTCCAGTGGACCCCAACTATGATAATCAGGGTAAGTTTTTGTTCTTTTGTTTTTTAAAATTTTTTCTGCCATTCAGACATTCGTGAGGTTTAGTTAAGAGAGTTTGTTTTTATTATTAATAAAATATTAATTGTGCAAATTAATCTGACTGAGTTAAATACTGAGATTAAGGCCACATTGTGTCATTTATAATGCTAATTTACCGCATTAACTTAAATATTAGGGTTAAGACTTTGGTTAGTTAGGCAAAATTACAAGACACAGTTGAATCTTAAGGTTACAACCCTGCAATATTATATCAAATACTAATTTCCCTGACTAATTTAAACATTAAAATTAAAACCCTACAATATAATAATAATAATGCAAATGTATTAAACTAATTTCAATATGAAGGTTAAGACTTTACAACATCATGTACTGAAATCAAAATCGTTTACATTAGCAATTAAGATGAATTGTTTGTGTCCAGCGTTGTGATGAATCCAGAGATTTCAGACTCCAATTTAATGGAAGTACAGTATTTAATTGCCAGTGCACCCCTCATTCAGTTTGAATACATATTGATGATTGATACAAAGAACAATGGTGCAGTGGACATCTGTTATTAGCTGTGTTATTTAAAGTTTCAAAAATTGTATGATTTTAATAAACGTCATAGACTGATTTAAATTGTGTATTCCTCACAGGTGGTGCTGATCAGCCTCAAGGTAAATCCTATCACTGAGCTTGTTTTGTCTTCTTTTAATGTCCTCTTGGGTTTGAGTGATTTCCTGTTTTATTTAGATACATTAAAATTTTTGCACAATGTGAAAAATGTGCATTGCTTCTTCTGCTGTCTCTTAAACAACCACAGCACTGTCAGTGAAATAACATTTCTCTGGTGTCAAGGCAGTAACACAAGCTGTTGCTGTTTCTTCGCTATTCAAACACACTTGAATAGCAGCAGCTGCAGATGACAATCACAAAATCAGACGGATGAAAAGTCATCATATTCCTTCAGTGATACGAAATAGCTAAGTTTGGCAAAGGTGGCTGTCAAATAGAAGTTTTGGTGGCGTGTGTGAAAACTTTATTTCAACTAAAAGTTGCAGCCCAACAAGCCTGTTTCAGTGCCTGAGACAAAAGAACAGATTAATTTATTTGACCATATGTCCCAGCCCTGCTTCCTGTCTTTGTGTCTATGAGCTGTCCTTGTCACTTTGGGGATTATAAGGTCTCCCTTGAGAATTTATCGGTTCGTGAGTTTGTGTAGAGAATTTCCTGTTTCCCTTCATAGAGGAAGCTGTGTTTACTGCTTCTGTTTTCATCGTTGATGTGGTAGTTTTTTTGTTTACTCCACATGCCACTCTTGCATATTGATTTATTGTGGCTTTGAAAGCACTGCTACCTTGCTCTGTGTTTGTCACACTCTATATCATTTTGACATAGGAATTGTCAACTGGATTTGTAAGACTTTAGCAGTTTGATGAGTTATGTTTAGCTGCATTTCAGCTGACACAGTAGGTGTAGGTGGGCCTGAGTGTCATACTGGTATATTCTTCATATTGGTACCCCTGGTCTGGTTTCTCTGGCTAAAATCCTGCTTCGATTGTGTGTCGTTGCAGGTCCAGACCTTCCATGGGGCCAAATCCTGAAGATGCTAAATGCTAACATGCCAGAAGAATTCTATATGTGGATGTCCAACTTAAAGCAAATGCTAGCGCCTTTGTTAGAGCGGGCCATGGATCTGCTGCAAGCTATGCCATGAGCCAGCAATCTGTTTGCGTTTTGACTGGTCTCAGTTTGCACCACTAGTGGTTTACAGATGTTTGGGTTGATGTTTGCTGGACTCTTGGAAAAAGTTAGGTACCAGGTTGAAAATCAGGAATCAGAGAAATTACGTTTTATTTATTTGTAATAGACGGATGGGAATTCTGTTTACCTGGAATTTCTCTGATAGGTCTCATGTATGTCTTCATAATGGGGCAGGTGACATGAAAAAGAAATGTATATATTCTGACAGAGGTCAAGAAAAAGAAACATGATCACATCTGATAGGTGTCATGAAAATAAATTATGCTTACAGCCAACAAATGTCATGAAAAAGAAATGTTTACACACCCAACAGGTCTCAAGACAGGAAACGTATTTATGCCTGATGGGTGTTAGGAAAAGAAACTGTTTATTGCATGCCGGATATCAACAAAAGAAGTGTTGATGCACCCGACAGATTTAATGAAAAAGCTCCACTTATGCACCTGACGGGTATCAAGAAAAGAAATGTTTATGTACCCGAGAGATTTAATAAAATACCTTAGGAAATGTTTCAAGATGTCAAAGAGGCATAAAAAACTTACTTTTTTGCACCTGAAAGATATCATGAAAAGGACATGATTAAACACCCAACAGGTGTCATACACAAGATTTATGCACCAGGCAGGTGTCATAGAAAACAAGTCTTAATGTCTGATAAAAAACAAAAAAAAAAGTCTGTTTGAGTGTATAATTTGAGCATTCCTTGCCTGCACAAATAGTAAACCTATCTTTTTGCAAATATGCTAACTATTGGGACTTTTATTTTCTGTTGGGATGTCCAGAGTTATATTTCTACCATTGAGCATAAGAGAATTGACTGGTAGAAAATGTAGCACATGATTTGTAAGTACAATACAAGACACAATGGGAGGAGGGGGTTGTGAGCTTTTATCACAAATTATTGCAAGTATGAAGCTTGTTCTGACCAGAAAAATGTGTCAATATGTGTTGCAAATCATTGTCATGCCTGAAATCTGGTGAAATGGGACTCCTCAGAATACATTTACTCTTAAGTGTAATTTCTGTGGAGTACAGATCAGATATGACCGACCAATCACCACCCAGAACACCAGGAATTTTGTTTCTGTTGACTTATTTCAAAAGTTTTAATTTACATTTAGGAAGCAATGTAAAAAGTAAGGGTGTAGTGGTTGATTTTGTTGGGGAGACTTGAGTTCATGTCCCATCACAAATGTGTGGTTTAAACTTTTTTTTTTTTTACTGTTACCACAATCTTTCTCTAGTGTTAACTCATCTATCTCATCTGATATGTGGTTCGGTTGGAGGCAACTATTTTCTTCACAGCTTACATTAGGTGAGAAGTGGTGGTAGATCCTGCACAGACCACTGCTCGCTCACACAGCTGATAAATAGAACCCATTCATTCTCACCTTCGCACACAATTTAACGCAACGGAACCTGCGTGCCTTTGCAATGTGGGGGGAAACCCGATCACATAGAGAACACCCACACAGCTACTGCCACTTGCTTTTCTGTGTGAAGGCCCTTCAAGTCTGTTACTGTTTGTAATGGGGTTTTTGACATTTTTGGGTGCGAGAATGAGAGTCCTTGACGTATTTTCTTATCCTCCTCTACCTTATTGTGTTTCTTAGGCAAGAGCAGGTCACTCATGTTGCAATGTGTTGTTGAAGGTTACATTGAAATCATAAAAAAGTCACTTTGTCTGTCCTTTGACCTCTGGCTCTCTCACAGCTCAATACTTGTGCTGTGCAAAAAATCTACTGAACCAACATGTAGACATAAACTCACCACGCCACAAGAAATACTGCAGTGTTCAACAGACACCTTGTATTTGGGTGTGTGCATACATTCCTTTTTTTCACTCTCCGCCCTGCTGTAATGTACATGATGTGCCATGACTCAGTCATGCATTTGAACTCATGTTACCTTTACTTTACTGTGTGGAACAGAATACACCACACATCTGTATGTGGATTTATTGTTGTTCATGTTGGCTGTTTTGATGCTTGCGGGTCATTGTTGTTTATTTCATTTACTGAGGAAATTAAGTGTCTGAATCTCAATCTGCTCAGCAAAAGCTCACGTGTGGGAGCATTTTTGTAACCTTACTTTATTCACCGCAGATCGTGGCATCATGTTTGTATCTGTGGAAAGCAAACTCTTTGTTTGAGTGTCACTTTGCATCAGGACACACCTGGTTTCTGCCTGTGCATGTCAGTTCAGCAGCATCTGCCACATTCTTAGCATAGTCAGCATTCAAACACTCTGCTGAGAGATGCAGCATGGAGAGGTGCACATTTCTTATCCTCCTACTGTCTGTGGACAAACTTTTACATATTTGATCAGATGATGATTTTTCCCCTTTTGGCCCTCTGTAGCTTATGAATGCTTCTTTGTGTTATCTTTGGTATCGTTGGCAGCATGTTCATTTTTGGTGGGTTCTTTGTAGTTTCTCATTCATTTGAATTCTGAAATGTGTACCGTTGTTGCATTGCAATGTAAGACAGTCATGCAAGGTGTACAAGCACAATAAATAAAACAAGACTGTGGAATGTTAGAGTTTAACGTACAGTTTGTTTGCGGTATGATCCATGCATCAGTAAGAAGCAGCACATTTGACTCAGCTAATCAAACAGTCAGGTTTAATACCTGCTGTGTATGTTTATGTAAGACTGGTAATATTTGAGTTTGTATCATGAGTACATGCTACATATACATACATGAAAAAACTTAAAATTTTTCTTGCAAAAATCATATAATTTGACTCCTAGTTATAAAGAAGAAAACGTTTTTTCATGCAGAATTTTTTTTACACAATCGTAAATTCTAACATCTTGATATGTAAGAATGTACTCTATATACTTGCTGTGTATGTTATAGTATGTCATAGTAACAAAAAATAGCTTTTTATAGTCTCAAAAGATGTGTACGGTCACATTATCACAAACAACAGCCCTGCTGCCAACCTGCGGCACCACAGAATTCACCCTCCTGGTTTTGATCTCACTGTGAATTATGATTCTAACAGCAGCAGAAACTAACCCTTTAGGTGTCCTGTGGGAAAGAAACAATAGTCGTTGGTGTCCACATGCTCAGCATTTCCCAGCAGTAGGCTGACATGCTTCGTCTTTCTTACATGTTTTTTTTTTTTTTTTGTCCTGGCAACTCCCAGTTTTAGCACCATCACAAGACACACCTCTTGCTCATGACTCACTGTGGCTTCAAAGCTGCACCAGTCAACAGAACAGCCAGGCTTATTATTCATGCACAGTGTGCGTTTCAGTGTCTTCGTCCCTTTGTGTGTGTGTGTTGCCTCGGTGCCAGGGCCACACCCTGCCCTGGAGCTTGGGTGTGTTCGACATTCGCCTTTAATCCAACTTGGACCTGTTCTCTTCTAGTCACTATTCTAGTTTGTCCCTATCGTATTCGTCTTTGTGTTACCTGTGTTTTCTTTATGCCTTTAAAACTTTTCTACCACAGTTTTTCCTTCTACTGTGTCCTGGAAACTTTTTTCTTTTACCCCTAGTTCCAGTTGATTTTAGCATTAAAAGCTATTGACTGCCACCTTGTGGGGAACGTAGGTTATGACAACTCACACACTAGGCCTCTTTGTATACAACTTCCACAAGCTATCATCAAAGAATTGTTCTTAAGAATGCTATTAAGATAAGTAGGGAACTCATCACATTATTAGTCCTTATCTTAAGATTACAGTATCAAGCCACTGGGAGTGTGGCTTGATAACATAATCCTACTGATTATATTGTTCTTACTAATCAAATCTTGATACATGATACTGACATATATCAATAAATTAGAAACGTTTCTTGCTGATTGGTTGGTTTTTACAATAAGAAAAAGTGCCAATCATCATCTGTACACAAAATTGTTTACACTATTAAACTATATGAATAGATGTGATCATAAACAAATATGATGTGCTTTTTTCCCCCATCCTGCAGCTGAAGCTGGGTCTGGACAGATTGCAGGAATTGCCAGTGCCATAGGAGTCGCTCTGCTGGGAGCAGCGTCCAGTTACTTTGCTTACCAGAAGAAAAAACTGTGCTTTAAGCTGCAGGGAGGTCAGTGTCCTTTACTTTATTATTGTAACAAGATTTCTGTCTGTGTCTATTCTGTGTCATTACAGCAGATGTTGTTAAATAATCATTCTGATAAAAATGTTCCTTGCTCAGGGGCAGATCCAGAGAGAGGGAAAGGCCCCCATGGTACTCACTCGGATCCTCAAGGTAAGTTGCTTTGTGGAGTGCTGCATTATTAACCCTGCGAACCTCAAGCACTTTCTGGGTGTTTTTGGCTCCTTTCACATTTTTACCCACTGAAACCGTACAATCCTGACAAGAAGTAGAGGGAACTCAAAGATGTCTTCAAACAAAGCAAAAGGACAAAAGCATGATATAAGTATGATATAAGTATAAGTGATATTCGTCCCCAAGGAACATGCACAGGTTGTGAGGCTGTGTACAGCTTTAACAAATTGGTGATAAAAATAGTCTCATAAGTATAATATGTGACAAAAAAATGTCCTTCCATCCATCAAACCAAACTCTATGTGTAGCCTGACCCCTGGTGGTGAACAGCAGGCAGTGAACTTAACTTTGCTGTTCTTTTTAATTGCAGTTTTCAGCAACCTGCTCCGTACAAACTAGACGCCCTCTTTACTGCTGCAAAGAGGACTTCATTCAACTTTCAATCAAGTCTCCTTTGGATTCTTTGGTTCACAAAACAAGACTTTGTGCAGCCTGATCAGTTGAAACCATAAATACAATTTAAACTGGACTTTCAAGCTGTAAACTGAAAGCACAGCTAGTTGTGTATCATTAACTTTTCATACACTTTTAACAAAATCAAGCCAGAACAGGTGAGTGATGATTGAACATCGTGGTTTCGTGTTTGTGTGCTTTGGCTGTGTAACTACTGGATACATGAATACAATAGGTTGTTTTGCTTTACGTCTGACTCTTACACTATAGTAACACGTGATTAGTTTAACATACATGTTTGGGGTTTACTGCATCCTACAAGTAAAATAAGGCGCCTTTTTTGTAATGTAATTTTTTAAGCTTTGAAGACGGATTGAAGAAGGATCGAACAAACCGTGTATATTTTCATTTGCTTGGCTTGGAATGGATGTAGAGTATTATCTTTAGCACCTTAAATTGTTAGCATTTGGTTTACCCACATCACAAAGAAAAAAACTGCAAAACACAATGGAGCACATTCTCCAATAAAACCAGATTTTTCAAATAATGTAACAATCATGTCATACTCGCCACTCTACCAATCCGTGTCATCATCAATTGAACTTAGAGCTTCCTGCATGTATTTCAAACTTAAAGTCTGCCAGGAACAAAGTAACCATTGTCTTTTAAAAAATGTGTCAGGAACAAATACTGTATATAAGATGGATGTCACGTCACCTGTTGGTTTGTGGACTGCTGTTTTAAAGTCTTGAGTTCAGAATTTGGTCGCTGCTATTTTTGTCTTTTGAAACTGAATGTAATGAACACATTCTCCCCGTGCAGCGTGGGTTCTCTCCGGGTTCTCCGGCTTCCTCCCACAAGTCCAAAAACATGTTGAGGTAAATTGGTAATTCTAAATTGTCCGTAGGTGTGAATGTGAGTGTGCTTGGTTGTCTGTCTCTAAGTGTAGCCCTGCGATAGACTGGCGACCTGTCCAGGGTATCCCCTGCCTTCGCCCTAAGTCGGCTGGGAAAGGCTCCAGCCCCCCGCCCCCCGCGACCCTAATGAGGAATGTAATAGTGTAATAAACACTAACTGGAACCACAATTTACAAAATGAACCCTGTTCTGTATTCAAAAAGTCTTGAGGCTAGTGATTGAGACCATAACCTCTTTCGGACAATGTTTACTGAGCTAGTAAATTAAGTCAGAAGTAGGATCATTTTCTCATAGACTTCTATACAATCAACTTCTTCAGAGGAGTCGGCCCCTGCTGGCTGTGAGAAAGAATGCAGGTCAAAGACACTAACAAATTGCCTTTACTTTTCATGTTTCTTTTATAAACAGTCTATGTTCAGGAAGCATTGAGTTTCATATAATGTAGCTTATAGCAATTTAAAAAGGACAAAATGTATACTAATGGAAATATTTAGTTAAAAAAATATAGAGTGGACAAATTTGTAGCCGCAAAGTGGTGAGTACGACATGAGTTCAACTGAATTAGCATTTCTACATTTTTCTAAACATGGTAAAATACTACGTTCTTGAGGTATATTGAGGTAACTTCTGGCCCCCATTTTAGAATTTAAATGACATCAAACCACAAACCTATCTCCATTTGTATTCATCTTATCATCATGTCACTGGATGGAAATCCAGCAGAAGGAGTTTTGTAATATAAAATGTTGATTATTATGTGATTAGTGGTTTTTATGCAACACAACAGACTACATGTATACATCCAATAAATGTACACAGTTTTGTGATGTGTATTTGTATGTGCGATTGTTGAGGACCTTTTGTATCCCATCTGTACATGTTAAATACTCTATGAACGCTTTTTTTGTTTGTTTGTTGTTGTGCTTGATCCTAAATTAGTGCACACCAAAATTCATTTTTTGTCTGTCATTTTAGCCCTTAAAGTCTTATTTTTGAAGCTCTCTCAATGAGTCATATGTGTAATGTGAACAATCAGAGAATCTTTTAGTCATTTTTGTGATTTTACTGCGCACAAACAGTTCTTTGTGAAGCATTTAGCAGCTAGGAAGCCAGATGTTTTTTCTCAGGAGTTGGTATTTTTCAGCTGGACACAAGCACAACTCCAGCGGGATACTAATGTTGCTTGATGGGTAAATAGTCAGCTTTTTCAATGCTGGTTAAATCCTGCTTCTGCTGCCCCCTAGAGGCCACAAAACAATCAATGTCGCTTTAAGACAGGAGAAACAAGCAGATTTGTTTCTACAAAATTCTTGAAACAAAACTAATTTTGTGAGAAACAAGTTGTTCTACCGCACTGACATTTATATACGTTTTTACTTGTTTGCAAAAATAAGGTTTTAAAGACAAAAATAATCAGAAAAGATGGAGAGTTTTGGCAGTTTCACTTTTATTACCCAGCTTCTTTTGTTTGCCACAGCAAGGCAGCAGCCGTTAAACAATCTGAGACCCTGCACTTTTGTCCACAATTATGGTCAATATTTTTATTTTCATCCTATTTGTCTGCATTATGGTTTCCTAGTTGATTCCGTCACACTTTCAAAGTGTCATAAGTTTATTTGAGTCACATATGAGCACATGAGGTAGCATCAGATCACAGCTATTTCACATCAGGGACTTCTGGTTGGAGTTGGAATATTAGTCTTGATGCTAAAATATAATACATCCCTGTGAGCTGTAAATACTTGAGTGTAGTGTGTATAGATGCCTGCTAACTTTTGCTTAAGTCTGATGCTTTTAGCTTTCCAGTATCGACAATCACAATCTCAGTTGAAGTGTATTTCGGGAGATTTTTATATTCAAACCTGTTTCAGTTTTACAGCATCATGGAGGTCTGTTACACCTGGTGATTCAATGAATGTTACTTTTGTGAGTGGATTTAAAGTGTGTACATGTTTTCAATAAAGTGATGTTGTACAGTTTATTCCTATTTTGTCTTTTTTGTCATCACCTGCTTTATGGTCTCTCAAAAATGTACAGCAGCTACATCGGGCCACAGCAAAAAATGTATTTTTATTTTATTTTTTTTTACAAAAGAGGATTTCTTTCATTGCAGAACTTAAACCCCAGTGTCCTAGGTGAATGTCCTACAATTTTGGTCTTTTATACATGTAAAGTGAAAGAAATTTGTGAGTCACATGACATGAACGCAAGCCAATAGAAAGAATAAGCCAAAAATGCATATACATCTCACAATTTTACAGCCTTTATTGTGAAAGTTATTTTTTAGGCTGTGAAGCAGCTTAGCTATTATTATTGAATGCATTCCAATTTGTTCATGTTTACTCAAATGCTAGTCATGGAGTTCAACAGGGTTCTGTGCTAGGACTGCTACATTTCCCCCTTATACATGCTTCTTTTAGGCTTCTTTTATGTATTAGAAAACACAGAATAAATATCTATTATTATGCAGATGACACAAAGCTATATTTATCTGTGAAGCCTGATATAGCTGACGACTTGGATGAATTTGATCCTAAATATACCCCCCCCCCCAAAAAAAACAAAAAACAAACAGCCTCTACAACCAGATACTTATTCTGCATTGCATTAAATTGACCTCCAGCACTGCTGTAAGGACTGTAAGAGTTATTGTTGACTAGGATATGTCCTTTATTTCACAATTAACACAGGGGTTTCTTCCCATTCATGATGCCTTTGAAAATATCTCTGTAGAGAAATATTTTCTGTCCAATGACACATAGAAAATGAAACTTAACTCTCTACATAAGCCCATTAACAGAAGGGCAGGAGGGCAGGTAGTGAAGGTTGACTCTGTTGCACAACACTTGAAAAAAGTTCCCTTTCTACTAGTTGAATGACCAGTTGAGCAAACAGATGAGCAGAAATAAACAGTGGGCCTCTGCACCACTCTTTACACTGCTGTAAAATAGAATGAGATGTGACTTTACAGTGCAGCGTCAGATACAACCACACAGTATTCAGGAACAGATCCAATATCGGCTGATGCCAAGATGGGACCATCATCCGGGCCCTCGTGATTAACTGTTCCTATAAAACTGGATTCGTTTTGCGGACAAGTGCAGAATATTCCCAATCTCCTTTGTGGATAAACACAGCTACTGGACTGGCAGAAGATTTGGACAAATTGAAAATGCCAGGTAAGTGTTTTGATTTAATAACTATCTAGATTTGAAAATCTTAAATCTCAAAGATGAGATTCTATTTGGGCTTCAGTCTGTTAGTTGACCTTTTCTATGCAGGTTAATAAATAAAAGAAAGGCTTCCCAAAATTGCCCCACAGTTTCAGCTCTACACCCTGGGAGCATTGTAATTCCCTCGTCTCCCTTTCTGATTTGTTAAATTATACAGAGCACACTGTAGTGACCCAGTTTGCCCTGAAATCAGAATAGACTCCCTGCTCCTCCAACAAAATGCCAAGTGAAATTTAACACTACACGCAGACAAAAGGTTACATGCCTCTGCATCTGACTGCAGGCCAGGAAAATGAAATCCTGACATGCCTGTCATGACTTTAATGCTCCACATGAAACAAGTGTTACAACTACAGTAAAGACACAATAGGAATCATTTCATTAAAAAGGCCATATGCAGTCTTTTATGTGACTGTTTTGTTATAGATTGAGCCCTATAGATGGAACCAGAGTCTTGAAGCTATTTTTAAAACAGCAAAGTGAGTTTTTCTTTTAAAGTTTCAAGTTAAAGCCTACAGCTGAAGAAAACCTAAGGCTTTCAAAAGCTTCTTCCATTAGTTGCGGAACAAAAAGTTTGATGGTTGTTCCATTAGATTGAGTTTCGGATTCCACAATTGTGTAGATGTGAAAGATTACAGTTGCAATTTGCAAGATTTTCAACATGTGGGTGGTCTGTGGTGCAGATTACTGCATGTGAGTCCCCCTGTTGGCCTTCCTTGCATGCATAAAGAGAGCAATTATGACCTGTGATGATGCTGCGTGATAAAAGTTAATGTACAGTCCAACATATCTGGCCAGAATCTGATTCTTGAGTGTCTCCGCTCCGTCCTCAGCTAGAGAGGCCTTTGTGACCATGGTCACCACAGACTCGTACTGCATGGGGGCCACAGTGGTTGCCAGAAGTTTGCGGCGACATGGAACGACTCGCTGCATCGTTGTCATGGTTACGCCAAACATCTCTGAGCACTCAAGGTGGGAGGATGTTTTTTACATCATTTTTAACATCATCATCACAATCATTTTGTCCTGTTCCATGACGTGTCCAAGCCTTAAATCTATTGAGATGGTTTTAAACAACCTTTTAACTTTAGGTGTCACAAAACTCCATCATCCAACAGGTTTGCCCTTGACAATGTGTTTGATGAGGTTATCACGGTCGATGTGATGGACAGTAAGGATTGCTCCCATCTGGCTTTGCTGGGACGTCCTGAGCTCGGCACCACCTTTACAAAGATCCACTGTTGGACTCTGACGCAGTACAGCAAATGTGTCTTCCTGGACGCCGACACGCTTGTGAGTCCACTGAACATACAGCAACATGATTTCAGGGTGGAGCAGAATCTGTTACTTTCTTTAGTTTTTTCTTAGTGGCATACCATTGTACAGAGTTGATGTTTGCTCTTGGTCAGTCTGTGTGTACCTAAAAAAAAAGCCCCTGATAGTGTTGAGGATGTGCAGGCAGTGAGAGAGAAACGGCATAATTGTACGCATCTATGATTATTAGAACATTATAAGCTGAGCAACCTGTACTTGCATCTCTACTGTCACTGTTTGGCAAACATAGAACACTGAAATTGCTGGAAAAACATCAGCCACAGTGGATGTAATCGACAATATAAAACAGAAGTGAGTACACCCCTGTGTAGCATCACCAACACGTGTGAAATGATTAACAGTAATTGCAAAACACAAATACTGTAGAAAGCCAATATTGAAAATACAGGCCCATCTTGTCATCTATAAATGTTATCTTCCCAAAAGCTTTTGTTCCATATCATCACACCTCCACCTCTGTGCTTCACTGTTGGGACGATGCATTCACTGTGGTGGTCCTGGCCCAGTTAATGCCAATTATACTAGGCCCTGTCTTCAATATGAAGACAAAAGATACATTTATCTTGGTCCCATCTGACCAGAATTCATTAGGCTTCATTTTATCAGAGTAGGGTGACAGAATGTTTTCTTTAACTTGAAGCATCAAAAGTAGAACCAAAACAACAGTCATACATTTAAGCATCTTGCCTTCAAGAGGGATTGCTCCTTCATTTATTCATATATTTTGCACAGTTCAAACCACACAGCAGCTTTGATCCCTCTTCAAAGAGAACATTCCTAGAAAAAAAAATATACAGATAAAGCAGATATTGCACAAATCACCTCCATGCTGGCTCACTGGTCAAACTGGAGATCATTATCTATTAGTAAGTCAACATACTGTGTTAGTTGTGTTACTGTGTTTCAGAGTTCATCTACTCTCGTTTGACCTGTTGGCCAATGTCTTTGTATGGCTTGGTGATGTCACGTGTTATTATGGAGATCGACACCAACACAGATGAAGAGGACATACCTCAGAGCCCATTACTGCTGTAATTTCTTGTTCGTTGTAGTCAGTGCAAACATGTTCGCATACTAGCTGGAAGAGACATGTTTGAAGAGCGACCTGAGTAAACACATTGTCTCAAGGTTGCACTTGCACTGACGCACACACGTACTTTTGTGCACATATGATGTTCAGGCTAGCGTTAATACTAACAGACCTCTCACCTGCTTTATTGATTAAAAGAGTCCAAGTATTTGTTATGAATGAAAATGTGGGGTTCTCGTGCCTCTTCAAAGGAGGTTATGGAGATATAGGACTTAGTCTGGTTTTCCTTCAATCGAGTCAACAGCTTGGACTCTTCCTCACTTTTATTACTTGTGGCATCAGACACAGGACACCTTCAGAGGTCGTGTTTCAACAGACCAAAACTGTTTTGGTGACTCAAGGGAATCCACACAAAGTTGTGGCTGACCAGTGTCACTTTCAACACACATCAGCTCAGATGAACAACGCTGACCTCTCATTGACTGTTCCCTCTCAGGTGCTGCGTAACGTGGACGAGCTCTTCGAGAGAGACGAGCTGTCGGCAGCCCCCGATCCTGGCTGGCCTGACTGCTTTAACTCAGGCGTATTTGTCTTCAGACCGTCCCTCCACACCCACGGCAGGCTCTTGGATCATGCCCTACAGCACGGCAGCTTTGATGGTAACACATGGCTGCATGTTTGGGCTCAGGCTAAGAAACAGAAATTGCAGTGAACACAGATGACTCAACTGAATACAATCATGCAAAAGACAAGGTTTACTTACAGTCAAGTCAATTTATTTGCAGAGCACATTTGAAAACAACATGCTTTACTAAAAGACTATTCCACAATGTTGTGCCAATTACAGTAAATTCTCTTTTGGATTTTATCTTGGGGCTGGAATTGAAAACAGTGATTGGTCAGAAGGGTCTGGAAGAGGAATATTTCAGTGATATAACCTGCAGTGCTTTACAAGTTTAAAAAAAATCTAAGAAAACTTTTTTTTATTTAGCTGGTCATCAGTGTTAACCATCACTCTGTAACCTTTTGTTTATGCAACAACACAACTAGCACAGTTCTTTTTTTCCATGACTAATTAACAAGAGAAGTCTGTCTGATGGATCATCATTTACCCAGAGTTCTTTAAAAAACAAAAAAAAAACAAAAAACACATTATTTTGTTTGTTTACATCCACACTTGCACAGCAAAATGAGTGAGGACCAAAAGAAAAACACTGAAACGAAAGATTTGGTTGCATAATTGCACAGCTGCACAATTAATGGATTATAAGTCATAATCATGATTTTTGTTCTCCACAACTATATGAACATGATCGATGTTTAAAATCATCTGCTCACTGAAAACAGTCCATGTAGATAAAATCACTTGGTTTCAACTTTGGTAAATCAGACCTTAGAACATTTTTTTTCAAAGTAATTTTTGGTCACATAGCTGTTTGAGCTGCTGCAATGCGTTAACTAGGTGATTTAGATTTTATCAGTGTAAAGCAAAAAAAATGTTTCAGATGCCTTTATCAGTGTTACAGTATATGAGAAAGATTCAAAAGAGTTAGCTCTCAAAAAAATCTTCACAGCAGACAGTCTTCTTTCAGCTTTTAAAAAAAAATATTTTTGCATTTTCAATGATGCATGATGAATTCCTTGCAAACAAATGTGTTCAAGTCATTCAGTAAAAACTCCTGTGTTTTCCATATCACAGTATATATCGCAGAAAAACTAAATATTGCAATGTCAATTTTTTCAGTACATACAGTCCTGGTCGGAGGCATATACTTTAAAAAACAGGCCCTAACGGAAGCAACTCAGGGTAGTTGTTGTGGTTCAAAACTGGATCACCACAGTTTTTGGATATGTTCAACTAATAAAAACAGGATCATTGTTTCGTTGATTTGATTTCATTGTGCTGAGTGCAAGATTTGAGAAACGTGATGTCAGCAAAGCCTGAAAGGGTGATTTGTGATATTTGTCGTTTGCTATCAGGAGGAGACCAGGGTCTGTTGAACTCCTTCTTCAGTAGCTGGCCAGTGGCAGACATCAGTAAACACCTGCCGTTTGTCTACAACCTCAGTGCCAGCTCGCTCTACAGCTACCTCCCTGCTTTCCAACAGTGAGTTTGTCTGCACTGTCTGTGACTCTTTCCCATTGCTCAATTCAAGGATAAATACATGTGAACTGTGTTTACTCAGTTTTGAATTTTGTGGCTTACAGTTAAATACATTGTCAGGCAGCAGAGTACAAATACTGTAAACACCAAAGTAATGAGTGGCTTAGCCATATCTAAAATACAAAATACAGTGTGACACATTATAAATATACCATAATATACCATGGTCACTAAAATAACTGATTCTGACATGCACACAAAAACAGAAGAAATTACTTGTAGATATATATATAAAGCATTATTATTAAGCGCCAAGACAGAAAAACCTTTTGCATCATTCATTTTTTAGAATTTAAACTGACACACAGCAGATTGTTTGCTCTTTACATCACTGCATTGACTAAGAATGTAAGCACACGTTAAAACAGACGCTTTGATCAAACATATGAAACTGGAGTATAGTAGAAAACAAAAGCGTGACAAAACTGAACTAAGATTCAGTGTAAACACCAGTTGCAGCAGTAATACAGATTAATAGAATGAGCTATAATACTACTAAGTAAAGCTGCAGGAGCTGACCTTCGAAAATTATGTCACAAACAGTGTATTACTTGCACAATGTAGCTCTGAAGTGCAATGCATAATGTCTTATATATGTGTCTGTGGAGCATCCCATAAAAGAGACCCTTACGTGCACTGCAGTACAAAACTTTTAGATTAAACATCGACAAGGACCCAAAAGAAAGCGTGAGGGATATTGGGAGCACATTCTTTGGTCAGATGAGACCAAGAAAAATTTGTTCGGCTCATGAACTTGGCTTGTGCTGCCACAGTGAATACATCGTCCTGACAGTCAGGCATGGAGGTAGGAGTGTGATGATATAGGGCTGCATGAGTGGAAAGGTATTGGGACGGTGTCATTTATAGACGGCACCATGAATGTCTGTGGATATAACAAAATCACAGAAGAGTTTGAAAAAGGAAAAAGTGAAAACTATGACCTGACCAAGTTTGTTGCCCAACACTTTTGGGGCATTTTAAAGAGAAAGGTAAAGCAACACAACCCCTCTAGCAAAGAACTGCTGACAAAATAGTCTCTGGAGAATGGCAGAACATGTCTCCAAAGATTTGTGGACGTATAAAAACGTTGAAAAAACAAACGCCTTAAAGGTCGCAGTTTGTTGCATTTAGTACCAACTTTGGGCCTGTAATTTTGATATAATAAGTTTTTTTATTTTATTTTTATTTTTTTATTTGACATATGAGCAAAGACCCTGAATCATTTGACGTATATTGCACAGGAGTGTACTCCTTTTTTTCTGTATGCTACACCTACAGGTTCAGGCGATCCTGTTTTATAGCAAAGTTGTTGCAAAATGTTTGTTAGTGCGATCCTCCACCCACAGATTGAGATATTGAACATGCTTGAGTTACAGTTTTGTTCCCGCAGGTTTGGCCACAATGCGAAGATTGTCCACTTTCTGGGAGCAGTCAAACCCTGGAACTCACACAGGGATGACAACAGCTCACCCACCATGGACGAGTTTGTGTCTCTGTGGTGGAGGGAATACCTCAGTCACACAACATCATCTGCTCCAGTGACCCACACCAGTCAAGACCGGGAGAAATCACAACAGGTACAAACATCCACGTGATCTGAAAACTGCATGTCCTCTCTCTGATAGGAAGTGCACTAACAGCAGCTACTACAGAGAATATGAATGGTTCAGTCCCCAGAAGACACTGTTACCATGCTGCACCAGTCAATGAATGAAAGTATAGAAATAAAATACAAGGCTCCTAGTTCAGGTCTGTTGATTTCAGCTCATTTTGATTTCTTTTTTTTAATTTAAGAGCTGCTGTGACACGAGTGAGAATTAAACCACGAAGTTAACTGGAGCTGCAACATCGGTGATAAGTATTATTAGTAACTGTTCAGACAGCTAATGCAGTAAACAGGACTCAAATCCGTGACTCACAGAAAGATCAGTGTAGTATGAAGCAACGTTTACTGACAGCAGACATAAATACGAAGGCTGGCAGCAGGGAAAAGCTTAGGCAGAGTCTGAGGGACAGGCCGGCCTGATAAGGCACCGCCAAACACAGTGTGAGGCAAACAAGACTGAAGACAGAGGTAGGTGAGGAGGCAAGGAGTCTGAACACAGGCAGGGGTCCAAAACATGTCGAGAGGCTGGAACACAGCAACACAACAGACTTTCTGGTGGGGAAGGAGTGGAAGTGGGCATGTACAGATTGTGTGCTGCAGGTGTGCTGCCGGGATGGAGGCAAGGCAGCACAAAAGATGTGATTTCATACATGTTCTGTGTGATCCCATATAATACACTTGAAAGGTTGTGACGGACAGAAATGACAGAAAAAAGCACGGCAACGTTGACTATATTTTGAGTGTGAGCCAGTGTACACAATGGCAGAGTCCTGGCAACAGAGCACCTGAATGGAATGCAGCCAATAACTGTTTTTAACTACCACTGTAATGGGTGTAGGTGGTACACAGACAACAAAGGCTCAACTGACTGTTTTCCACAATTTACCATAAGAATGTCTTCTCTTTACTGCACATAGACTCCTTAGAATGTGTAGCAGTACTGTGAGCCTCTTTAGATTTCTCCATAAACATCAAGAAGACACATTCTTTGGACATTACTCTTTGTACGGAGGTCATCAGAATATTTTATTCTTGTAGTAAGCAATGACACCTCCAAAGGAGGCAAGAGGGGGCACCCTCGGTCTAATTGGCCAACTCTAATGTCCAATTTTTCATTCAAGCAACCATGGTGTCCAAGTGAAAGTGGAAGAGCCATTAGATGATTGTAAGTGTACATAACTATACAAACTGACAGGCACTCTCTGCAACAAGAAACCAAAATAGGCTATACCTACCTACAACTGCTTACACACTGGATGCACCCGATGGGATGAATGCTTCACTTCTTGCTTCGTGATTTCAAAATGGACTAATACTGAAGCTCATTTGGAAATTTTCTCTTATACTACAAAAACGGTGGACCAAATTCTGTTTATGAAAACATTTGTGGTGAGAAATAAATCATGTAGCTTTGAAACCTGTCTTTATTTTAGATGTACCAACAATGTCACAGTGTCTCTAACTCTGTCTCAGGTCCAAAGGCATTGATTTTCACTGAAGACATACATCTCAAAAAATTTGTTAAAAAGAATATTCCACAACTACACACTTTATATCTTTGCCAATGTTAAATCTACAGAAAAACAGGACATCAGGGGACCCACAAAACAAACTGTCACCACTAATTTCAGTAGTATTTACAAGTAATTGACTGCAACTGGTTTAAGTTTTAAATGTAATCTTCAACAGTGTCACTCAGTGTTGTGCAGGAATTCAACCATTTGCTGTGTTTGGCAGATGCTCAGCTGGGTTTCATTCCAAACTACTTCAGCAACACTTTTCACTGATGACTTCCCCTTCTTTACTTGAAGCTTTGTTAATACGTCACGTAAGATGCCGCAAAGTTTGGCTGGAGCCTCAGACATGCCGACTGGCAGCCAAACGCGACACACAGGTCTTGGTTGTCATCCCAGCGTTTACCATCCTTCCTTGTTTTACAGATCCAAGAACGAGACGCCAAGATGCTGTTTAGAAAAAACTTGGACAGCTCCAATTCACTGCTCGCACACTTTTCTCCTCCTTCTCAGAGTATTCATTCACAACCCAAGATGGTAAGCTAAGACTCCAAAATATTCATCTGTAATTTTTATGAAGTACTGTCGGCTATCATGTTGCTAAGGCTGTGGTATCCCCATTTATGAGTGCAATACATTATGAATAGACATTCTTGAAAACAGTATTTTTCTGATAAAAACAGAAGCTTCCTCCCTTCACACCTGACCAAGGGTAATTTGAGAGAGAGGGCAGTATTTTGAGGGGAAGCATTATGAAATCTGAATGTAAAATGAGGAGATAATGCTCTTAAATTGCTTTGACTGAGGATAGTCAAGTAACTCCATATATTCTCCTTTCCAGATGCAGCAGGCACCTGTTTTCAGTGAAAAACCTCCAACAAACCCACCACACACAGTGAACCAGGTATAGTTTAAGTTTCTTGGGTTGGGGTGTCCAACCAAATAAATATTAGGCACTGGTTAGTATTGAGCTTCATGCAATTATTTGGGCAGCCAAACACGTGGTAGCGGATATAGGTGAGGAGCTTCAGTTAATGGTCAAGGAAACTCTAATAAATATAATAAAACCAAAACACATTTGGCAGGGTTACAAAAGCAGGGGAGCTAATGGAAAGTGGCTTTCAGGAAACAATCCAAACTAAAAGTCTAAGTAGCTTCGCAAAAGAAACCAAACCAAATTACAAGAACAAACACAAATCTGGCGAGAGAACAAAGGAAAATGCAGGACTATATATACACTAGGGAACTTGGGAGAAACTGGGTGAAAAGATGCAGGTGATTCACAAGATGCAGGTGAAAGAGATCAGAGCAATCAGCATGGAGGGAAACAGTCAGAGGCAGAAAGTACAGTAATAAGAATAAGCAGGGGTAAGGACTATCAAAATAAAACAGGATATAAACAGCACACAGCACACAACCTGAAGACCATGACGGAAAAATGCGATCTCAGCAACTGTGATCATCATGATTGGTGGCAAATGGTGAGTTCAGAAACTGATGATCTCTGGGAAGTCACCACAACAATCTATACTTTCATCTGAATGTTGAAGCACTTTGTAAGCTGAAATTCTACAGATGGAAACTCTTTGTAGATAGGAAATGTCAGAGGAGAACAATCTAATTGGTTGGAGCTGATAGAAAGGCGACACCTCAGAATGCACAATACATCAAACTTTGAGGTGACAATAACAGAAAACTGCATCAGGTTCCGCTTCTGTCTGCTAAAGAACTGAATTCCGAGGCTACAATAGACACAGATTCACCAAAACTGGACAACTGAAGGTGGAAAAATGCAGCTAGATGTAATGAATCTCATTTTCTGCTGAGGCTACAGGATGGTAGGCTCAGACGTTGATGTCAACAGCTTAAATTCATGAAGCCAACCTGTCTTCTGTCAGCAGTTCAGAATTTTGGGCCTCTAAATATCCATCAATTGCAGATTGAATGCCACAGCCTATCAGAGTATTGCTGCTGACCATGTGCAGCCCTCTGTGGACACAGTTTAGCATCTTCTTATGCCTACCTTAGGCAGGATAATGCCCCATAAAGCAAAAATCGCCTCCAGCCGTTTTCATGAATAGCTCAGGGAACTTCAGTAGCTTCCCCAGTTTACGGAGCTGAATCCAGAAAAACACCTTAGAGAAGCAGTTGAACAGAAGAATGGTAGCATGAATGTTCAGAAATGCAGACATGCGGTGATGCAATTATGCCAACAAAAAGTGCAATATTTCTATTATTTTGTGGAACCCATGACCCCAAACTCCAAGGCTGAGTGTTAATACGGTGTTCCAAAGAAAGGCTCACCAGCTGGCTTTCCATAATGTATTTTTTTGGCACATTTTGAAGTATTGCATTAGAAAAAGTGAAAGAAAAAAGCAGCATTCAAAAGGCATCCTCTGATTTTCCTCAGTTCCTTGGCAAAAAAAATTTAAATTTGTTGTGACAGTCAAATGTTAACTTCAAACTTGACGATTGTACAGAAAAACTAATTTGACTGTATCTTCAATAACGGTCTGATATATTTAGATTATAAGCTGCATATTATATCTTTGCTACACAGTTAAGTCCAGGACATGTTAGTCAAGCATAGCGCAAAGACTATAAACTGGCAGAAAATAAGTTCAGTGCATTAAAAGTTCTCAAAAATAATTCCTTTTAACACAGTTTATTTAAAGTCACACTCTTTCTGTGAAGCTGAATGCGTAGTCATTAGAAATATTTGCTAATCAATCCATTAATTAGCTTGTGTTTATAATATATCACAGTGATTATTATGGTGGGCTATTAGGCAGCTCAAGTGCCTCTTGTTAGTTCCAGCAGATGAGGCTGTTAATTTATGAGTATTTCTGCTTGACTGGATTTGACTCCAGCAGGAGAAAAAAAAAAAACAAAACAAAAAAAAAAACAAAGAAGGGGACACGCAGCCTATTATCTGCCACAGGCCTCTGAGCTTCTCATTGGATTTCTGTCATTTGTTAAATTCATTTCAACTTAGTGTTTATACATGCTTGTAAGATTAGCCTGAACAGACACACTCCCTTTGGTATGATAGCACCCATGAACATGCATCAGTGCAGTTACCATGGCGAGGGTGAAGCCGGGCCATGATGTAGTTGAAACTCACTTTGGTTGTTTCTCCTTTTCAGCTGTACTGCACTGATGAGTAACACGGCTATCGTGTATGTAGTTTTCTCACACAGATAACACACTGTTGGAGGAAGAGTCGAGATCATCTGAGAGGACGGAGGTCAAGGATCCAGCTTTGGGAGCCGAAGGACTCGAGAGCAGGGATAGCACTACAGTAACAGATACTCCTCCTGTACGTGAGCTGTGAAAAATACCACGATTCCATTTGCTCCCTTTGAATATCATGAAACTGTGTGTCTGGGATTCTGGAGATAGACTCCAGTTCATTTTTAAATAGATGATGCTAAGTTATTAAGCACTTCAAGGTGATTAAATGTTAAAGATACAAGCCAGTGTGCATAAAAACTCAAGTAGTGATTGCATTAAACGTGCAATTTTAGGTTTTCTGGCCACTTGGGTGTAGCAGAAAAGGCTGCCATATTATCTCTTTTGAAATTGAACTCATTGGCGAGCAGTTATGGAGCAGAAAGGCAATCAATTTGCAACAACGAATATATTTTTAATTGCAACTGGATCATGTTTTCTACCAGCTTAATAAGGAAATATACTTTGTAAATTGTAATTTGCACATTTGACAAGTCATACATACACTATATTGCCAAAAGTATTCACTCACCTGCCTTGACGCGCAAATGAGCTGAAGTGACATCCCATTCTTAATCCATAGGGTTTAATATGACGTTGGTCCACCCTTTGCAGCTATAACAGCTTCAACTCTTCTAGAAAGGCTGTCCACAAGGTCTAGGAGTGTGTTTATTGGAATTTTTGACCTTTCTTCCAGAAGCGCGTTTGTGAGGTCATACACTGATGTTGGACGAGAAGGCCTGGCTCTCAGTCTCCGCTCTAATTCATCGCAAACGTGTTCTATCAGGTTGAGGTCAGGAGTCTGTGCAGGCCAGTCAAGTTCTTCCACACCAAACTCTCTCATCCATGTCTTTATGGACTTTGTTTGTGCACTGGTGCACAGTCATGTTGGAAGAGGAAGGGGCCATCTCCAAACTGTTCCCACGAAGTTGGGAGCACGGAATTGTCCAAAATCTCTTGGTATGCTGAAGCATTCAGAGTTCCTTTCACTGGCCCTAAGGGGCCAAGTCCAGCTCCTGAAAAACAACCCCACGCCATAATCCCCTTTCCACCAAACTTCACACTTGGCACAATGCAGTCAGACAAGTACCGTTCGCCTGGCAGCCACCAAACCCAGACTCGTCCATCAGATTGCCAGATGGAGAAGTGCGATTCATCACTCCAGAGAACATGTCTCCACCGCTCTAGAGTCCAGTGGCGGCGTGCTTTCCAACACTGCATCCGACGCTTTGCATTGCATTTGGTGATTAATGGCTTGGATGCAGCTGCTCTGGCATGGAAACCCATTCCATGAAGCTCTCTACACACTGTTCTTGAGCTAATCTGAAGGCCACATAAAGTTTTGGGGTCTGTAGCGATTGACTCTGCAGAAAGTTGGCGACCTCTGCTCCCTATGTGCCTCAGCATCCGCCGACCTCGCTCTGTCAGTTTACGTGTCCTACCACTTCGTGTCTGAGTTGCTGTCATTCTCAATCGCTTCCACTTTGTTATAATCCCACCGACAGTTGACTGTGGAATATTTAGGAGCGAGGAAATTTCACAACTGTACTTGTTGCACAGGTGGCATCCTATCACAGTACCACGCTGGAATTCACTGAGCTCCTGAGAGCGACCCATTCTTTCAAAGATGTTTGTAGAAACAGTCTGCATGCCTTGGTGCTTGATTTTATACACAATGTGGCCATGGAAGTGATTGGAACACATGATTTCCATTATTTGGATGGGTGAGTGAATACTTTTGGCAATATAGTGTATGTTGATACAGAACATGCTAGAAATATTTTCACTGGAATTCACCTTGTGGTCAAATCAGAACAAATCAGACTCATTAAAACAACAAACCAAAAGTATGACTTCACTGTCATTTCTGACAGTTCAGTAATATATGAACATAATTTCAAGGAGGCAGAGTTTGTGGTGAAATTAAGTCTAATATTCTCTCTTTGTTGCTCTGTTTTCGGTCTCCACCAGCTCCCGAGAAAATTCTCTTGCCGTTTAGCTGTTCCACTACGTTCATCAGCTCGTCTCTAACTATGTCTGGATGTTGGTTGTTGATGAAAACATAGTGCTGAGTAGCATTAAAAATAAAATTTAATGACACTTTTAAAATGCAAATTTACAGCAGAGGAAAATTCCCCTAGAAACATGAACTACTCCAGCTTCATAGCTAAATGAATGAGGTGACAAAGACACAGAAAGGGGTCAGACTTACAGTACTCAAATTAAAGCATAGATTAGCAAAAATAATGAAAACCTGCCAATTCTGAAATTGCTCAGCTTCAAATTCTGCTTGTGCATAACGATGATAACTCCAATCCAAAACCTCCAATCCTACCAAATAGAGAGTCTGATGCTCCATGAGATAAATTTCCTCTAAAGACTGATTTGTTCTACTTCTTATTGTAGCAGACGGCAGCTGACAGAAAAACAGAGCAGCTGGAGCGTCGCAGGAGGTGGGAGGCCGGACAGGCAGACTACCTGGGCAGAGACGCCTTCAAGAACATCCAGAAGATGCTGGACAGCTTCCTGCTTTAGAAGACACACATGAGGACATCTATAACTTAAACATAAACTTGTGCATTAGCTCTATTCCATATCCAGTGAAGTAGATTTTTCAGTCTGAACAGTCTGGTTGAATTTTAAGGCTGGAGTTTTAGAGTTTGATTGATGTGTGTTTTATATCCTAATATTTTATGTCTTTAAAGCCCCTATATGTAGGACTTATGAGATTATTGTTTTCTAGAGGGCTTATGGTTCTATTCCCACCCACGTTGAAGCATACACTAAGACTAACCTTGTTTTTTCTTTCAAAAATCTACACAAATTAGAAATCTTGCATCTGACATAAATTCCACATATAGGGGTTTTAGCACTGATATTTGTGCCACTGTCAATAAACTAAGCTATGACCTGAGTTGAGTGTTAAAGTGCTAGGAACCACTATTGAGGGCTATTAGTGCTGAAACTCTTTGGTTGGTAAAGTGCAGTTGAAGTGGAATTTTAAATTTACCAGCTGTTGTGCTGTGAGAAATTACCTCCAGCTGAACCCCACTGCCAGGTGTGGTGGTATTTTGGCTTTTCTTGACAATTTAGTACTTTTTCTGACTTCTTACTCAGCTTTTGGCTCTAAACTCCAAGTTGTTTAGTTCCAACATGAATCTTTAAAAACCTTACAAATGTAAAATCCAGCCATTTCCTTAAACAGCTGGTTACTGTAGTTTTCACTCGAACGAAAGGAAATGGGGCATTTATAGGGACTATTTTTAGTGGTTGAGTAATTTGCTTCTCAAGTAAATACATCTTCTAGCAGTGGTACAGTGTTTCAACATGAGATTTACTGACACTAAGGAAAATAGAAAGTATCATCACACTAATCCTTTGTTTGTACTGAATTATTGAAGAATTATTTACACTACAAAAAACACATTTATGTGGTGTTTCACCATACACAGAGAAACTACTCCCACTCAAGGCTTCTTGACTCTGGATTACTATGATGTGGATGAATCTACACAGACAAAAAAAAAAAAGAAAAAAAGCCACCTTTTGCTTCACCTACTTTTAATTCTGTCAACCAGCTTGAAAGGAGTCTCCACATATACCTGTTAGTTGTTTTTTTTTTTTCTCCCCTCTGCTCCAACACATCCTAAACCATCAAGGTTGGGTGTGGGTCATCTCATGCAGCCCTCCATCACTCTGCTTCTTGGCTAAACAGCCCTTACACCGCCTGGAGGTGTGTTTTGGCCCACTAAGCTCGAAGCAGAATTCTCTGCAGGATGCATCCATGCTGCTTAGGTGTTGCTTGAAATTCTAGATATATCTCAACCCTCCTCCTCAGTGCTTCACAGTGGGAACCACACATGCAGACGCAATTCATTCACCTTCTCTGCTTCTCACATAGAGGTTGGAACCAGAAATCGAAAATATGGACTGATTCAACCAAAATCCAGGTTTCTGCTGACGTCATTTTAATTCCTCAAACTTCTTGATTCAAGCATCTTTCTGTTCTTCGCAGCAGTTCCACCACGAAGGCCTGATTCATGCAGTCTCATCCCAAAAGTTGATGCTGAGATGTGTCTGCTCCTTAAACTCCAGAAGGCATTGACGTAGGCTCTAATCTGAGTTGCTGCTAGTTGGCCATTGCTGATGCTGAAGCTAATGAATTTTTACTTTGCAGACTTTTGGTCCTTCTTTCCTGAGGCGGTCCTCATGAGTTACATCACAGTGTTTGATGTACTCAGTAGAAAATGGTAAAAAACAAAATAGATGGAAAGCCTTACGTAGGTGACAGAGTGTCCAGACTTTTGACTTGATCTCAGTCCTTGTCTCTGCTCATAAACCTAATGCAACTATTTCAAACAGCTCTTTATAATTAGTACAAAATGACATAGTTTCTAGCAGGAAACTTGCACATTTTTTAAAATTTATTTTTGTAAATTATGAGATCTATAATTTGTGGATCCTGCTCATTCATCTCCAGAATTCCCTTTTTTTGATCAGCTCACAAACCTTTTGCTAATTTTCTTGCATCATTTGAACGCACACACACATTGATTTCGTTAGTGCCCACACACTAGTACATGCACACACACACACATTGGCCTTATGTTAGTTGAAGCCTGTGTGCTGATTTTGGCAGCAGGGGGCACTGTGGCTCTTCCTTCACAGCTCTTTCCCATCATGACAGCACATCACAGAGGCAGGAACACAGATTAATAGATGACTGACTGCAGTCAACAGAATGCTGTGTGATCCTTATCCAATAGGCACACGGTGCATGTAATTTTCACAGGCGTTCCTCCTATAATGTTGTGTCACAGCGACGGAAGATGGTGAGCTGAATACTAAGTAAATGGCAGGAGGTGAGCTCAGGCTGTAAGTGAAAAAAGGCCTTACGATGATTGCCTTGAAAGACGACCTGGCCTGTTGTCGCTCTTTGCTGTGCATTTCCCGGCTTGAATCAAGATTAAAGCGTGATCTGGGATAAGATACTGGTTTGCTGTGACTGGCTCATTCATTAAGCTGCACAAGGCAAAAGGAATCAGGGATCTGAGTCAGATTTGAAAATGATCCTGTTAATCATAGCTTCTAACTCTGGCTAACTAATAACACAAGGCACAGCGATGTCTTTATTCCAGGTTCTATGGTGGTCGGTTTTTACTCTCTCAAGTAGACAGCAGCTGAGTTTGAGCTCTCCTCTTTTGTATAAATCTGTAAAATCAGCTCTTGTAATGATTAGCTGGCAGACTGCAGTCTAATCCTGCATTCATGTTGGGTGTGATTTGTAGCGTGAATATGACCTGTCAACTGGGAGAAGTCATTCACGTCAGACTCCTAGTGGTAATTACAGTAGGGATTGACAGAGTGTGTCAACACAGGCAGCAAACACAGATATTAATTAACCAATGTGGCAGTCCAAGATAATCAAAGTAAAAATTGCAATGTGTTATACACCAATCTGCCACAACATTAAAACCAAGCCAAGTATTGTGTAGGTTCTTTTTGTGCTGCCAGAACAGCTTTGAATCTTTGGGGCATGGACACAGAACTTCTAGATTAGGTTTGGCGCATTAAGTATTGTGGCTGCTAATTGTATAATCACAGTAATGCAATTTAAATCAGATAGAATGTCAAGTACTGGCTGTTGAAGTTTGATTAGTTATAAAAGGGGTCTGTATGTGAGTCACCAACATTTTGATAACTGCATGTGTCCCAATTTCATGTCACTCACTGGGACCAACAATTCAAAGCATATTGGGAACTGATTTCAACCAGGTGATGAGGTGGTTTAGTACTAAAGCTGGTTTAGTACTAAAGTTTAAATCAAAATAGCAGAGACTAATATATTCTGCTGGATCTGATATTCCTGTAATTCAGCTTTAGTAGCATCTTGCATCTGCCCTGCAATATATGCATCTTTCTAGCTCTACTCTTTGGATATGGCTGTAGTCTCCAACTCAGGCAGGAATATCCCCAATGAAATCATTATAGTATCAGTTAATGCAATTCAATTTTATTTACAGTACATATACCCTCTGGCTGCCACTATCGAGTAATTTTCTGATTATTTAATAAACCTAAATGATTAGTCCCCCCCCCCTCCTCCCAAAAAAAAAGCAGACTAACCATTTCACTTAATTTTATTTTTAACAAACTATTTCCTTGTATAATTCAGAACAGAATTAAATATAAACATAGCTTTACATATTATAATGCAACTGTGGAGTTAAACTGGAAACTCCAGCATGGGGCTTGTTATTGAAGTCCAACCCAAGTACAACGTGGACACGGTGGATATTTTACAAATGCAGAGCAGCTTAAGCAAATCCTTTTCTCTCTACTGTGTACTTGTTCTCTTAGTTTGGTAGTAGCTTTGCATTTATTGAAAATGTAGCTGAATTCACAGCACAGCAGCTGTCTTTAACTCTTGCATATGTTGAGTTTGTCAGGCAATGTTGCAGTGACGAAATCAAGACTTTAGTGGTGCTGAGAAGCAGTTGGTTAAGCTTTAATTCAATTCAATTTAAGCTTTTTTGTACATTTGCCCTCATTAAAATGCAGCATATGTGAGCACAGGTATCAGGAGAGAAGCAAAAAATATCTCAGTGTCTAAGTGCAAGTAGCTCTTGTGGGTTTTCTCTTCAATGCATTATACTGTGGTATCCCATCCAAACTCTGCACAGTTTACGAACCACATCTTTGCTCTATGATCGTTTGGCTTTTAGAAACTTTAATACCGAACTGAGTCAGACTCTGCTGTCGCCGACATTGTCTAAAACTGTGGTCCAGCTGACTAACATGTGGAGCCAAAAACAACTGATGTCATGATGGCACAATTTTGCAACAACGCTGGAGAAATACGTTGCAATAATGACCTTTAGAAAGAAGAAAACATCTGCGGGTAGAAATATCGATGTCAACACATTTTTAGCTTCTGATGCCGACCAGTTGCAGCGGTTCTATAAAGCGCCAGATCATAACATGTGTCATCTCAAGGCAAAGCATCATAAAACCAACACCTTTGGAGAATTAACACCATGTGAGTTGTTTCCAAATGTGACCCGAGGGGCTTTGCTGGGTTTCTTTATAAAACTGTAAGATCCTGACGTTATTAAGTAATTTGCCCTGCGATGACTGTTATGACTTGGCACTATATAAATTAAGTTGAACTGAATTCTAAACCACAGACTGTTTATTCGTTACGTAGAAAACTCAGCTACACCAGTCCGTCATTTGCTAAGGATGTGACTGATAAACACTTCCATCGTGTCTCATTAAGTATAAGTAAATACGGCATATTCAAATGTTTAATCGTTCAGCAATACTTTCCATTATTATTATTATTATTGTTGTTATTATTATTATTACTAATGTTGTGTTGGTGTTGTGTTGTGCAAGTACAACAATTTCCCTGCGGTACCCTACCAAAGGGATCAATGAAGTTCTAGCTAATCTAATCTAATCTAATCTAATCTAATCTTTATTTTGGACTTGGACATTTGTTTAATCATTATATGATTGATCTAGGGCTGCAAGGTGGCTCGGTGGTTGGCACCGTCGCCTCACAGCAAGAAGGTTGCCGGTT